AGTCTCCAGACATGGACTCTCTACTTGGCTACTCCGTTCATTCGGTGGCTCGGAGGTTCCGGACTGGCAAGCCTTCAACTGGTTCTTCTGCGCTCGGGATTGCGATAATGCCCTGTTGAACGAAAAGTTGATTTACCAACCACAGCGGGAGTGCGATAAGCAGATCTGTGCTGTCTGGGAGTGGGACGGGAATGCTGACATTGTTGGTGTTGGGGTATGTACGCTCGCCCTCACTGTGAGTCGAAGAGCTCTGACTGGGTAATCTCGCCAGATGATGGTAGTATACGCCATGGGAGCTATACTTTCAACGATGTATCTCATCACCTTCATCCACGGTATGCTGAGGGACAACAACTATCAAAGTTTCAAAGCTCCCCAGCTCCCTCCTCAAAATGGCATCCTGGACGCGATCCGGAACATGTTCTACCACAGCTTCGGGGCCTTTCATTCCGGACTTGGTCTTTTGACGGCTTCGGTGTTGGTGGCTACACTCATCATAGCCGGACAGAAAGAGAGCGTCTACGACATTGAGACGTCGTTCCTCTGTTCGGCGACCCTGACCGCCATGTTCTTCCTCACACTGCCAGCCTACCTGGACATCGAGCAACGATACGGCTCAGGGGTCTTCTTCGGCTTCGTAAACTGGTTACTTTTCGTCATCTCCATGTCAATGAAGCCAACGGCTGCGCAGGAAGCCAAGACGGTCAAGGACGATGAGCCCTTCTCCTTTGAGGCCTTCTGTTGGGACAAGCAGGTATCTGACGAGGCCGCGACGGTGACGATCATAGCCCTCTCCATGGTTCCTTTGTGCGTGTTTCTGTTGGCTGGTCTGAATGCGGCCATTGCCCGCTGGACGAAGAGGCCGAAAGAGAGCGTTCCTGTTCTGGGTTGGCTGTTCTTCAGGATTCCGTGGAGGCTGGCGTATGCTCTATACTTTTTCGTCTTCATGTGGGCCTCCCTGGGCAGCTTGTTCAAGCTCAAGTCTGAGATATCCAAGCTCAACGATGGAGGGGAGGCCAAGTCAGAGGAAAGATGGGGGTTCGGACAGATCCTAGCCTTGGCGACGTGGCTACCCGTGTTCGAAGAGGCCATCATGGTCACGTACAGTGAGTCGCGTCCTCGGTCGACCGTTGCCCTGGAAGGTTTGCTTGTTCTTGAACCCTGTGTAGCTAACCGTGCGCCACGCCACAGAAAATGCACGGTACGCCAACCAGCGAAGGATGAATGGGCATTTCGTTGGCGTTGAGAAGCCGGTCGAGGAGGAGAGCGTTTCCCTCGTGGAGCAAACACCCCAAAGCTATCTCAAAATAGAAACACCAAACGAAGTAGCCTAGCGAGAGGACAAATGGTGGTCTGAGAGGCTGATCATGATCAGGCATGTAATGCCAAACTGACGGTGGGAAAGGACTTAACAGCTGCGTTACGTGTTCGCTTAAGTTCTGCACGTTAAGAAGCATGTTGCAAAGTGATGCGTCCGGCAATGCTATCAATCCGACACTTGTAGTGTACAAGTTGCACCTGGTGAGCCACACACATTCGGATCATAAGAATGACGTTTTCAGGGACAATTGAACGTGTGACCGACTTGTTGGTGAGCTTGGGGCCGGAGATTAAGTTAGCTCGTAACAGTTGGTGGTAGCTGAGTCAATGATCGAAGACGCAATCAAAGGGCTGTGTGAAACAACGTTGTTGAAATAATGCCGAATCCATCCAACTAACGACGAAGGGGCCTGTTGAGGTGATCGGCCCTGAGCATTGTCAGTGCTTCATGTTGTGATTTCTGGGCTTTCTGGATGGATCCGATACAATTGCTGTTGGCGTCTATGTTGTGTTCGTGGTGTTTATTTGTAACCTGCTTGCCTCCTATTCTCCCCTGCTCGCAATCTTCTCTGCCAGATTCCGAGCTGTAACTGAAAACGACGAAATTTGAAAGATGGGGTTCAACAAGAATGTTGTGGACTCGAAAGCTTGGCGACAGTCAAACACCACCCAGCTAGCATTTGGCATGGCGATACGTACAGATCACTTTTTGTTCGCTGAGGAATATCGACCGCTGAATCATGGCTCATTTGGGGCCTTTCCAAAGGCGGTACACCAGTATCGGCAGCAACTCCAATCGAAATGTGAGGCACGACCTGAAACCTTCATCCGATACACCTATCTCAAACTCCTACAAGAAAGTCGGACGGCAATCGCACCGCCTCTCGGTGTGGATCCCGGGGAGCTTGTCTTTATCCCCAACGCAACAACGGGCGTTAACACTTTCCTTCGGAACTTGACGTTTAATGAGGACGATGTGATTCTGCATTTCGGTACTAGATACGGCGCTTGTGAGAAAACAATTCAGTCTCTCTTAGAAGTTTTCCCCGTTGCAGGGTACTCGATTGAGATAGCATATCCGATAGAAGATGAAGAGATCATCAAGCGTTTCCGCAACGCTGTCTCGGCAATTCAAGCTCAGGGCAAGCAAGCTAAGATCGCCATCTTTGATACTGTTCTGACGTTCCCCGGGGCTCGGTTCCCATGGGAGGCATTAGTGGAGGTATGCAGAGAACTCGGTGTCCTAAGCTTCATCGACGGCGCTCACGGGGTCGGCCACATCGATCTGGCCCATCTCAGCAGCGTCGGACCAGATTTCATGGTCAGCAACTGCTACAAGTGAGTCTTGTGCCTCATTTGATCGCAGATTTGGCAACTCTGACTCCCGCTACAGATGGCTGATGGTTTCGAGAGTCTGTGCGATTCTCTACGTGCCCTTTCGGAACCAAGGGTTGATTACAACCAGTACGCCGACGTCTTGGGGATGCGAGACAAAAGAGGAGAGAGCGAAGCTGAACCCGCAGGAGTACTTCTCTCGTCTGTTCAGCAAGGTCTCAACGACAGACAACACACCCTATTGCTGTGTCCCATTGGCACTCAAGTTTAGGGCTCGTGTTTGCGGTGGCGAAGCCAACATCCGCAAGTACTGTGAGGACCTGGCAAATCAGGGCGGCGAGAGAATGGCTCAATTACTGGGCACGACGTGCCTTGGAGATCCATCAAGCTCATTCCGACGCTGTGGTTTCCTCAACGTTAGGCTGCCCCTGACACTAACGGATCTCGCGATCGATACAGATGGCGGCTCAGAAGTCGCCAAGTGAATGCAAGAGCGCGCTCCGGCCGAGTATGAGACTTGTATTCCGATCAAGTTTTATGCTGGGGAATTCTGGTGCAGAGTCAGTGGCCAGATCTACTTGACGATGGATGACTTTGAGTGGGCTGCGAAGACGCTGCAGCAGCTCTGCGAGCGTGCGATCGCCGGTGAGTGGAGATAGCTCTGGATCCAAAGTCGCATTCCGGATATTCTGTGTACCGAGAAAATGATGTCAAAGAAGCATGTTTCGCCTATCAAAGTAAGACTTAAAATGATAAACGATGAAAGAGAGGATGCCGGGTAAAGCACACGAGGTTGACTGTCCCACGGCATTCAGGGGCTGGGCTATGCCTGCCCCTGATGAAGCTGGGTGAAGATGACTAACATGCACGGTCCACTTTCGAGGACGTGACGTGAGGGAACCCAAGTTTTTTTTGGCCATCAGCGACAGAAGCTGTGATGCAGGGTGCTGATGCTGATTCCGAATCTGCCCTGCACATCGCCATTTCCCTCTAAACCGCCAGGCTGTCCCCTCCAACCGCTGCCATGCTCAAATTGCATAGCGCGGCTCTTCGGAGGATCAGAACGCCCTACGTTTGCTCTGCCTGTCGTTTCCATTCCCAGGATCAGCGACTGCAATGGCAGACGAGCGCCCAGCGACCTGGCGTCGCGCATCGCCAGTACGGCAGCAGTAGCTCTCCGTCTGACCACGACAAGACCAGCTCGATCCCTGTCGCGCCGAACGATGCCCCCAGATCCGACAGCAAACCCTCGCAGCCGAAAGGAAGAGCGGCGCGAAACAAACGAGCTTCAGGCAAGGCACAGGCCAAGGCATCATCAGCAAATGCAACCAACAAATCCAAATCTACGAGACCCAAGTACACGCCCAAGGCCAAGAATGCTGAAGCGGTCGCGACGGAGGGCACAAGCCCTGAGATCATCCAGCAGGTCTTCTCCTCTCTTCAGGGACTTGAACAGAGCTACCGCACCATCAGCCGCCGCCTCAAGCAGTTTGAGCAGCAGCCCAACGAGGGGTCCGCCCCGGGCGCCAACCCAGCCGATGCCTCCCAGCCAGCCACTGTTGACGGAAACAAAAGCATGAACCAGTCGGTCCACAAGTCGGCTCAGAAGCTAGGATCTAAGCTGCGTGTCCTCAGTGGAACACTTGAGGTCCTGCGGAACGTCCTTGGGTCCCAGCAAATATCCATTGGCGAGCTGAGCAAGGAGGCGCGCAAGCAGAATAAACCGACAAAGGACGCAAACAAAGCCAAGCCTGCAAACGCAGCGGAGACAAGAACCGATGCCGATGTGTCGCGTGCCTCTGACAGCTTGTCCGCCAAGAGCTTCATCAAGAAGATCCCGACGGGTGCCGCTGCCGTCACCGCCACCGTAGCCGCTACAGTTCCGATCCCTACCCCGGAAGCCCCGAGCTCTCCATCACCTCCGCTTCGAAAAGATCTGGGCCCTTTGGACAGCCTGCCTGCGCACGATAAATACCTTGCCCGCGTTCCGGCGGTCGACCCATCAACTGATTCCCAATCTCCTGAGGCCAAGACGGCGAGAAAGCCCAAGAAGCCGAACGTCATCGCGAAGAAATCTCCACCGAATGTCAAAGTCGCCAAAGCCAGCAAGCTGGAGCTCACCCCGGTGGACCGGCCTGGTGGACCCGAAGTTCCCAAGCTTGCCTACGGCCTCGACCGCGTGTTGTTCAACCCTGGCGTATACCACCTACAGGACCCTCGCTCGCGCGTTTACAATTTTGACCCCTATCTGTCTAAAATCATGCCCACTACCGAATTCGACTTTGGCGCGTTGAAGAAGTATGTCACATCGTCAAAAGATACCACGCTGAACGACCTGGCGGCCAAGCTTGGCAAGAAGTACAGTGGTTCGACGTCGAGCATGACCTCCATGCTCTCTCACTTTCACTTCCTGCTGTCCGCATGGCGTCCCATCAACCCCGAAAACCTAAGCCAGGGATTTGAGCCAGACTTCAGCAGCTACACTTTGATATCACGCGCGCCTGCGGCCATTTTCCTGACACTGAACAATGGCGTCTATTCCATCGATGCGGATAAGGAGTATGACACGGCCAACGTCCTCAGCATGCTAGGCAAGTCCATGGAAAAACTGTTGACGCTACCGAAGGAGGAGTTTGAGCGATACCGCCATAAATATTCGGACTCGATCACTGAAGAGGAGAGGAACGCGGAGGAGGCATTCCATTTCTCAACGCTAGGGGATTTCCTCATGCGATCGCAGCTTGATGCCTACGACAAGAGACTCCCTGGTACAGGCATGTTTGATCTCAAGACGAGGGCTGTTGTGTCGATTCGCATGGATGCTGCGCAGTTCAAAAAGGGTCAAGGCTACGAGATTCGCCGAAGGTTCGGACAGTGGGAGTCGTTTGAGCGCGAGTATTACGACATGATCAGAGCTGCTTTCTTGAAGTACTCCCTCCAGGTCCGCATGGGCCGCATGGACGGCATCTTTGTTGCCTTCCACAACACGCAGCGCATCTTTGGCTTCCAGTACATTCCTCTGGAAGAGATGGATACCGCTCTTCACGGAACGGACGACAGGAGCCTGGGTGACCAGGAGTTCAAGCTCAGTCTGCACCTTCTGAATGAGGTCCTCGACCGTGCGACCAAGAAGTTCCCTGGACGGACGCTTCGTCTGCATGTCGAGACTCGACCGGGAGACCCACCCTTTACTTACATCTTCGCTCGACCTGTCACCGACGAAGAGGTGGCGCAAGTGCAAAACTCTAACCAAGCAGCTGTTGCTGAGTTTGAGAGAAAGCTCATGGGCATCGAGCAGGAGGAGAACGAGGCCGAAGCCACCGAGCTGGACATTGAACCGCAGCCGGCGCAAGAGGAAGAAATGACCGACACGCCTGAGGAGACGAGGCAGCAAACCCTTGAATTCTGGGAAGAGATGCAGGACAAGGTCGAAGAGGCTGTGGAGAATGATGCTCTTGGCGTCAACCACGTTCGCGAGGCCATCCAGTCGGCTCTTGAGCAGAGCGGTCTGCTCAAGGCTCGGTCTGCCGAGGAGGCGCAGAGCTACGTCGAGTCGCTGCTCGACGCCCTGACTGGCAGTCAGGCCTCAGACGCATCAAAGGCGGCAGAGGACGAGTTTCCCGTTATCTCAAGTGAGCTTACTTCTCCTGATACCGTGATTGAGGTCTCCGCTGGCGAAGACTCGGTCACTGAGGGCGGTCAAGCAAGGTTAGAGTTCGCCGAGGAGCCACGGCCGTCCGTAGAGGAGGCGGACTCAGCGTCTTCAGCGCTCGAATCATCCACTCGCTCTTCCGACCTCAGTTTGAAGGAGCTCATTCTCCGCGTGGCGGAGCGCATTGACAACAGGCCCGAGACGGAAGAGACCACCCTGACACCAGAACAGGCGGCCTCGGAAATCTCCAAGCTCGGAGAGTTTGAGCGGCTACTGGTTAAGCTGGTTGAGACCAAGCACGAGAGGTCGTCCAGTGAGACGACGGAGGATGTCGCGCCGGCTCTTTCTCCCGAATCCAACGAGACCCCTGCCGAAGCTGCCAACGAAGGCTCCGCCGCCGACAAGACTGTGCCTGCTACGGAGGAGCATCCGAAAGAGGAGCCTCTAGAAGACATCGTCGGCGACGAGATCCTCGGCATGCACCTGACGGTTCGCAACAAGGTGGACAACAAATACGTCACGCGTCCCGAGCGACCCAAGGACCGCAGCTCTCGCCCCCTGCGGTGGACCCTCGAGTACTCTATCGAGGAGATTCCCGCGCAGTCGGCCAAGCGCATCTACCAGTCCATACAGACGCGGCGGAAGAAGGCCCTCAAGTCGGACAGCGATGACCGCAGCAATCAGTGGCGGCAGATGTGGCAGGGCAAGCTGCAGGACATGTCGCAACGCGGTCGCCGATTCCGACAGAAGGAGGACGCGCACGGCCGGAAGAATCCCGTGCACCTGTTCGAGAGGGAAGAGCCCCTTACGTGGCAGGAGGCGTTTGGACACGAGGACAACTGGCTGGAAAATCAGAAGAAGAGCGATGGCAAGGAGGAGGACGACTGAGGAGGAGATGGATACCCACGAAAAGGGAATGTAAAAGCAAAGGCCTGTTGTACGAAAGGGGGGGTTTCCACTGTATCATGTACGATGTATTATACTGTCACCACTACCACCACCATCAAAAGCCTCTGGCGCGAGGTCTGAACAATACACCTTTCTAATTTCTTCACATTTGAAGGATCCGACACTGTATGCATGAATAAATTCCTTTCACGTGACCCGCGTTTGACAAGCTGAATTTTACACTGTGATTTACAAACCTGACCAAGCGGCTTGCCACTCGAATACCTCGGCCTAGGCGATCTGCCCCCAAGCTATTCTCATGCCAAGTCGCAGGTGTAAGACTGTCACGGCCCGATGGCTGCTCCTTTTCAGCCCCACGTGCGCCAAACTCCAATCATGGGTATCTACTCTCTGTTAGAGGCGGCTCAGTCCCCGACAAGAGGCGCGGACAGACAGACCATTGTGTCCAACTCCTGGCAAGCGCTGCGACCATGGGCCCCCTTCCTCATCAAAGGGAGCCACCTGGTTCGATGGCCCATGGCATCATTCGCCCTTGGCACATGGAGCGCCGCATTACCTGTTACTTTTTTGGGCGGAGGGGGTTCCTTTGCGTTTTTGTTTCTCACAACCTGCCGTTCGTCGGCTCACCTACGGGGAAAGCCAGGCGGCTGCACCCCGGTGCGGCTGGACCCCGGCGCGCAGGAGGCGTGCCGCTCGTGCGGGAAGCCGTGCGGCGGCGCACGTTTGCAAAGCCAGGCGGGGGCGGGGGTC